GCCTCTAATTTCTCTTCTGTGGTTCCAGTGATAGGTGTTTAGCTGCTCTCTTCCTGTCTTTCTTGCACAATTTCCCTCTCCTGAAACGCACATACCCAAGCTCCTTTTACAGGGTTAACAGCAATGACCTCAGGAGCTAGATGCTGTGGACACAATAGATGCCCTCTATGGAAGTGTGCCAGTGAGCTGTGCACCCACAGCTGCCTAGTAGCCACAGACGGCATGTGGAATAACCTTTGCCCAGGATCACAGTCCGCTTCTCAGCCCCATCAAAGCGTCTCACTGAGCATGTTGCGAGGCAACTGAGTCACACATCAGTGACAGTGAATATTGATACACAAACCCTCTGCACCGCAAGCAAGTCAAGGAAGTCTTACTGGTAGTGAAGGTCCTACATAAGGAATAATACTGTTAGCTGTAACGTCATTCAGAATAATGGATCCACAAATCTGGAAATGAAAATGTATGGTTTCTCTGAGGACAGAAAGCAGAAGGGTGGGTGGATGTATATTAGAAGATATTATAAGATATAGAGTGCCAGGCAACTCAAAACTGGAAGCAAGGTAAGCATTTGAAGGTTGGGCCTTAAGGTATATGGGGCTGTTGCACTAAAGAAAGAATTCAATTGAACATGTACAGAAGAAGTCACAGTTGACCAAACATATCTAGAAAGTGACTGGTCACAAGAAATTTAGACTCTACATAAGAAAAAAGATTACGCTCAACAAAAGATTAACTGTATAAAGGAAATGTTACAAATACTATGCAGGGTGGGCTGGCCTACTGGCTCAGTTGGTTAAAAGTTAGCTTAAGAGCACAAGCTCTGAGCAACAGGGCCGCCGGTTCGATTCTCACATGGGCCAGTGACACCGTGCCTGAGCTGAGCTGCTGTTGAGCTGCCAACAGGTGGCAAGATGGCTCAGCTGGTGAGAGCATGTGCCCCTAACAACAAGACTGCCTGTTCAATGGTGGGCTACGCCCACCCGCAACTCAGACTGAACTTGGCACTGTGAGCTGAGCTGCTGCCCAGATGGCACAGTGGATAGAGCATGAGCTCTTAACAACAAGGCTGCTGGTTCGACTCCCACATGGGATGGTGGCTATGCCCACCTGCAACTAAGACTGTAACAGAGCACCTTGAGCTGAGAGGCTATGAGCTGCTGACGGGCAGCCAGATGGCAACTGGTGCCCTCCACAACTAACACTGAAGAACAACAACTTGGCTGGTCCCCCTCCCCAATTCCCCAACACTGTTCCCCTCCCCCAATTCCCCAATTAAAAAAAAGCTATGCAGAAAAATATGATAGTTTCTGCCCTTTAGTTTTCATGTTAGACAGACAAAAAAATCAGAAAAGTAACTATACTGAATAAAAACACATTACACTTTAACAAATTGGAGGTTTTCTTACTATAAGGATGAGTTCTGGAATTAGGTATCAAGTATCATTGTCTAGCTGCTTTTTCACTGGTTGGTATAAAAGCAGATTCTTGGCATAAGAGACATTAAAAATTGAGGAAAGAATAAAAAAAGATGTTCATCAATATTGTTTAAGAGCAAAAACTCACAAATCACGTAAAAATAAAACACTAAGGAATTATAAGGTTGCCATTAAAAGTGATGCAAGAAAAAAAA